CCCGTCCAGAAGACCTATACAATTTTTTTCCTTTTGATTTTTTACCTGGATTACTGAGATTCATCAGGACGTTATTTTCGTACTGATTTCTAAAAAAATACGGTATTTGTTGCTTGCAGGGAGATCCTCAGTAATGTGGACAAGTTTTTGTTGCCACACAGAGAAGCTAAACAAATACCTTGCTGTTCTTGTTAATCATTGATAAGGTGCAACCTCTAGATTAGATCTCCCGGTATGATCAAACACATTATGGCAGACGGGGAACATCCTTAATTAATCTGTTATGGTAGCCAGGTTGCATGAAAGTGTCTGCCAGATGGTCGACTCGCTCAGCGTGGCTCACATGAGCGTTCATTTGAGTTTAAGAAAAAAATAATAATTTAAGACTCAACAGCATTTTACCATTTGCTTTGTATTTCCTCTTTAAAATAACCAAAGAAAAAAACAGCTTTGCAAAAGTRTTCAAATGAAAATAGAATAATTTCTGGGATACATTTAAAAACTTCACTGAATAAAGTCTTTTTGTGTTAGCTGCTGATTAAATTGCAGAACTGTCACTGAGTGAAACTATCTGGCGCTCGCCTCTGCAGCAGTTCAGCAGCTTTCAAACCAGCCATGAAAGATTCATTTCCTTTGTGCTGACACGCCACATGCCTTGCATATTCAAAGGCTTCCTCTCTAGGAAAAGCAAAGAAAATCTTTTCCCTGCAACAGCATTTAACATTTTGCTAAAGTTAAACGGGGATTTACAAAGACTGTTGCATAAGTGGCCGTAAAAGAGAGAAGTGTCTTTTTTTAAGAGTTYATTGTTTTATTAAAGAAGCACGTGGGCTTGGAGTCTTAAAACAAAAAATTAAAATTTATACAGACAAGAATGAGCAGTGGTGGGCACAGTCCTGCTAAGCTTCTCACGTAGCAGGTTAGCTTTTTTTTTCTAACTTTGGAAACCATTACTGTATACGGAGCCCGCGAGTGGACATGGGAGTTTTTTTTCTTTTCCGTTCCCACGCAACAGTATTGCGTTACCTCGCAATACCTTTTGCGTTCCCTCGCAAAAGTCGTTAAACACTGTTGTGCCTGCCTGTTTATTAATAAACTCACATGTTTACCATTAGCGAGTTAGCCTACTGCTTTAATTCTGCATCAGAATGAATATATCACGCAGCCACGCAACGCCAATGTCAATTTCACGAACTTGTGGTGAGACATCTTGTTTTGGTAACCGAATATTTCAAAATAAAAGTCTGATTTAATTCAGTTCATAAACAAATCAAACTTGTGCGTGGGAACGCAAAAAAAATATTGCGAGGTAACGCAAAAATGTTGCGCAGGAACGCAAAGGTATTGCGAGGCAACGCAAAGGTATTGCGAGGCAACGCAAAGGTATTGCGAGGCAATGCAAAGGTATTGCGAGGTAACGCAAAGGTATTGCGACGTAACGCAAAGGTATTGCGAGGCAAAGCAAAGGTATTGCGAGGCAAAGCAAAGGTATTGCGAGGCAACGCAAAGGTATTGCGAGGTAACGCAAAGGTATTGCGAGGCAACGCAAAGGTATTGCGAGGCAACGCAAAGGTATTGCGTAGTAACGCAAAGGTANATGTTGGCTCCCTGGATCAGGACCTGGAGCTCCAGCAGCCTCAGCTGAGCTGTCCGCCTCACACCACAGCAGCCTCGGACAGAGGAGGAGGAGGAGGAGCGCTCCGACAGCCTGACAGAAAAAAATAAAATCATACAGCTGCAGCTGCTCACAAGATC